CCAGTGAGGGTGCCAGAGCACTGGAACAGGCTGCCCAGAGAGGTTGTGGAGTCTCCTTCTCTGGAGATCTTCAAACCCGCTTGGACGCAGCCCTGTGCCACGTGCTCTAGGTGACTCTGCATGTGCAGGGGGCTGGACTAGATGATCTCTGGAGGTCCCTTCCAACCCTAAGCATTCTATGATTCTATGTTAAATATCAGGACACCACGAAGACCTGGTGCTCCCGGCTCCGTAATTTCTTCCCCGTGCGCAGCCGCAGGGACCCTCCGACCGAGCACATTCCCAGGCACGTCCGTGACGGGCCCCGCGTTGCTGCTCTTGGACGCGGCTCCCGGCTGCCGCGGCGGTTTCCTGCCTGTCGGCCTCAGATTTTTTGCCATGATCATTTCACAAGGCCACATCACAAATACGCTTTCTACCGGGCTATTGAGATATTTCAAAGACAAAACAGGCCTGCACAAATAATTGGTTTTGTTGTCTTGGAATTATTTGAGTTTTCGATGAAAAGACAAAGCAAACATCAGCAAGTGGAAAGGACAGATGAAAACCCAAAGGCTTCCTACAAAAGGGAATTTTTCACAAAAGTGTCTATTTTGTTGATGAAGTTATTTTTAGCTGAAAAAACATTTTAAGGGAATTTTGGATCAACTCAAGTAATATTATGCTCTTGCTAATATTTTCCATTTGAGACTTTCAAGATGCATTGCAAACAAGGATTAAGGTTCAAGTGTACATCCCTTGGACACAGAGCTGATGTTTCTCAGCTTTAATGCAGACTACCCCCCAGTCTTCTGAGGAGAGGCCCCTCTCAGATGTTTCTCAGATGTTAAGAGCCTTTTACCCAAGCACTTCATTTTAGATGTGTCCTTTGACCCACGATGGTCTGTATAGAGATATATATGTGTGTCTATCTGCATATATTTTGAAAAAAAGAAAAAAAGCAGAGCTGAAGCACAGAGAGGAGTACAACGGCTAAAGTGTTTTTCCCACAAATGCGGATTTTCTTTACCAAACTTCTTGCTGGGCACCTAGCAGAGCGTGCATGGGGCAGATGGTCCTATGTCCCCCAAGCCCAGGAGCCAAGGCCGCTATAAAAGCAGGTACCTGGGGCCGAGGGCTTTGCAGAGCCCCCGGCTCGCGAGCCTGCCCGTAAATCACCCTTTATTGCTGGGGTTGCGTTGCTGGGTAATGTCGCAGCTTGTTCCCTTGCACAAGCAGTAGATCTGTTACACAAAAATAATTACGCCTTGGCTGGGGTCCAGGCGGGTTCTCGGGGAACCTCTATTAATTATTCCTACAAAAGTCCTGCTGGGCTGTACCAGAACGTCCCTCGCCGCTGAGCAAGACGGCTTTAATAATGTTTACAGAGGGGTTTTCAGTTCTGATTAGCGGCGCTCGCGCTCGCGTCCCATCGTGGGAGCGGGGCGGTGCTGCCCCGGTGCTGCGCAGGGAGCATGGAGCAGCCCGTGAACCCTCATTGATGGACACCGAATACCCTTTTTTGCTTTATTTTATGTTTGCTTGTTTGTGTGGGCACCGCGGGGCCCTGGGCGGCTCGTGCAGAGAGCTGCTGGTGGCCCGTGATCTGCAGGCATGAGCTGGAAGAGCAAATACAGAGAGCCGTGATACATGGGCTCCACAGGGCATGGATTTACTGCTTAGGACATGGATTTACCAACTCAGATTCTGTCCCCACACTTCGCTGCTGTGAATGCACTGAGTGGTGTTCGTTTGGGGCGGTTTTTCTTGCATTGCTTCTTAAAAAAGAAATGCACAAGTAAAGTCAGTTCTGAGCTTTGGCCAACCCTAGAGATGCGTAACAGAAGAAGGGGCGTTTGGACACCAGGTCCCCACGTGGAATGAGGTGTCCCCTGTTGAGAGCAATCCAAGGTCATTGCCATCCGGTGCCCGCTGGCAGCAAAAGGCTCGAGCAAGACACATGTCCAAGCATTTAAAGCAGGGATGACAGCAGATCTTCCTCCACAGTAGCAGCTTCCCTGCGTGGTCGGAGTTTGGCGCTAGTTTGGCCTCTCTTACTCGTGTTTCTTTGGCTCTGGGTTTTTGCTTCCTCCCAAAAGGCTTCATGCAGGGGAACCCAAGAGATAAACTGCCAGAAACGGGGTGATCTCTGCAGTCTCCAGCACGATCACCCGTGTGAGCGGAGCCCTCCGGTAGCCGTGCAGAGAAACTCCCACTTTTCCCGACACACTTCCCACCCATCCCCTCTCTAAAGGGAATTTTGAGACTTAATTATTTTCATTCCTTGCTAGACTAAATAATTAGGGGACAGGGCTGTTTTCCATAAGAGCGTCATGTTCCCCGCTCAGCCGGGCTTGTTCTGCTAATGGAAACTCTACACCTCCAATAGCCAAGGGACTTTCAAAATGAGTTAATGCCTTCGAAATGAAATTTCGGAGACCAAAGTTTGTAGGTTTCTTTACAGCACTAGAAATTATAGTATTTTCTTCGAGTGTGATAAAGTTAAAATGAGAAACAGGTGAGTGATTAAGAGCCAGCGCGTTGCTGGGTGTGCGGGGACGCTGGGGACCGTCGCGATCCCTCCCGCTCGCGTGCAGTTCCGAAAGCGCCACCTGAATCCAAACGGGGAGGTTTTGCCTAAGAAATTCCTAAGCGTTTGACCTGCCGGTGTGGAAGCAGCCGGGAGGAACCAGAGCTCGTTTGCCCGTCGGAGGGGCACAACCTGCTTCGCGCGCGGCCTCTCTGGCGCTAAATCACGTTGGGTTAAGGATTTTCGCTCCCATTTTAGCAGTGCTGTGAACAAGCCCCAGCGTGGAGACCTGGGCACCCTTGGGGCCTGCTGAGCACTGGAGCTGCTGGCAGCTCCAACGTGGCATCCACGGGAATGATGCACTGGGAAACAGCCCGTAAAACTACCCATATCCCCCAGACGGTTCCTGGGCCATGGGGAATTTGTGGTCTCTCCAGCGGGGCTAGAAGAAGCAAGAAAACCCAGGCTGGAGGCGCTCTCACCCTCTTGAACCTGTGCTGGCCACTTGCCCCATGATGTACGGCGGGGAAACGGAACATAAAGAGGAAAGAAACCCCCCAAAGCGAGAAGATGCCCCACGTTGGAGCATCCCCCCCGCTGGCCACCCCGCTCGGGCAGCGGGAGCCCCTCAGCTGCTGCCGGGACAGCTGCGGCCGCTGGAACTAATTTCAGCTGTCCGGGAGATTGAGGCCTCCCGCGCAGCCGCTCCAGCCACGCTGCTAATTTCTAACACGTACAGTTGGGAGCTGTCATACGGCGCGTGATATACGAGCGGGCCTTGAAAGCGCTGCGGCGCAGCTGCTACCGGGCATCTGGCCGGGGGAGCCGCCGAGTGTTGGTTTAAAAGAAAATAATCGTGGTAACGCCTCTGATTTGCGGCCGCTGCCCGCGCCGGGGCCGCCGGACTCACCGAGCAGGGGGACGGTGCCGGCTCGGGTGTCCCCGGGCGTCGTGTGGTGGCCACGGGCTCTGGAGAAGCTGCCAAAAGGTGGATCTGACTCCTCACCCTGTGTCCCCGGAGCCACTGCGGATATTGAGACAAACCCTCGGGACAGGTCGTGTCTCCCAGGGGGTGTCCGACTGGGCTCC